GAGAATCACTTGACTCTGGGAGGTGGAGATTGCTGTGAGCTGAGATTGAACCGCTAGACTCCAGCCTGGGTGACAGAGTAAGACACTGTCTACCAGAAGAAAAGAAAAAGAAGAAAGAAAGAAAGGAAAGAAAGAGACGGAGGAAGGAAGGGAGGGAGGAAAGGAGGGAGGGAGGGAGGAAGGAAAGAAGGAAGGAAGGAATTTGAAAGCAGTGGGTTGAAGAGTAGGGATTTAAAAAAAAAAAAAGCATGCCACAGAAAAGCTTTATTAGAGGCTAATACTTCCTGATGAACGAACTATACATCTAGAAATTAGGCCCTGAATTTGTAGGTCATTTGTCGATTGTTCTTAGATATTAAAACCCTAATGTGAATTAGTTTTTCAGATTAGCTAGTTACCCCAAAATAGCAATGTCAATAAGGAAAGAAGAAGTTTGAGGGCATTTCATCTTTTAACCAGACCCTTGCCAAGCTTTGAGAATCTTTTAACCAGACCCTTGCCAAGCTTTGAGAATGGGTGAGAATAAATCATGAAAAGAAGACAAGAGGTAGAAACAAAGGAAAAACATAAAACCAACCAGTTATACACCTTAGCTTGTTCTCTAATTTTGCCCCTTCTAACTATGCCACCCACTCAAAGCCTTTATCCTAAGCTTTTTCCAGTCCTAAGGGCCCTCTCACTTCTGTTACCTTCTCCCTTTACCGTCTTCCCACCAAGAACATCTTCTTGTTAACCATCACAATGAATCCGCTTTCTTTTCCAGCACTGATCTCTGTGATCTTCTCCTCCCTATACTGTTGACTGGCTATGGAAGTTAGAACTAGGTTACTGATAACACTGGGAGTTGCTGGCCTGGAAATCCTGAGTTCAGCCCAGTGACAGTCTGTGGCCTGGGATTCCTCCTGGGCCCAAGCAAACAGCAGAAGAACTATTCACTCCACAGCTGTCAGAGGCTTTTTTTTTTTTTTTTTTTTTCTTTTTTGTAAATTCCTGAGAATATTTAAGTTGTTGTGATGGTTAATATTGAGTGTCAACTTGATTGGATTGAAGGATGCAAAGTATTGCTCCTGGGTGTGTCTGTGAGGGTGCTGCCAAAGGAGATTAACATTTGGGTCCGTGGACTGGGAAAGGCAAACCCACCCTCAATCTGGGTGGGCACAATCTAATCAGCTGCCAGCACGGCCAGAATAAAAGCAGGCCGAAAAACGTGGAAAGACTAGCCTGGTTTAGTCTTCTGGCCTCCATCCTTCCCCCGTGCTGGATGCTTCCTGCCCTCGAACATTGGACTCCAAGTTCTTCAGCTTTAGGACTCAGACTGCCTTCCTTGCTCCTCTGCTTGCAGACGGCCTATTGTGGGATCTCACCTTGTGATTGTGAGTCAGTACTCCTTAATAAACTCCCTTTTACATATACATCTATCCTATTGGTTCTGTCCCTCTAGAGAACCCTGACTAATACAATTGTGTTACAGGATGGGCTGTGGCCAAAACAAAACAAAGCGAAACAGAACATGGAGTAGGAAGACAGAATAGGGTCTCTCCCTGCCCTCATGGGAACAGGTTTCCCCTTGGTCGTCTACCAGGCACGGTACAAAGGCCATGTGGACTCCCTGGCCTCTGAACAGAATGCAGTGGCACTCCCACGCTGGACACTGAAGTCCAGAGTTATGCAGAGGAAGAAAACCTCTCGGAAGAGAGAAAATTTCCAAATTAAGGTACATGTGAAACACTCGTGGCCATAAATCATAAACTTCAGTATTGAAAAGCCTCATTTGAAATCACATGAGTCATAAAAGGAGTTCTCATATTTAGATAAGGATTATCTGGCTTCTAAGCATCTTCTTTCCCCAATTTCAATCAGTTCTCCACGCTATCACTTTAAAACCAGGCCCAAGTTTTCACCTTTTAGCACCTTCCCTAATTCTAACGATTTTATAAGTTTTCCAAAAATCTATTTGACTTAAGAGCAGAAATGCTACTTTATTTATATGTTGTTTATACTCTCTCCTACTTCTAAAATTACTTTGAGGATCACACCCCACTGAGCGCTGTGGCTTTTTGAATTTGTTAACCCTTTCTTAGATGTTAAGGTATACTTATAGTATAGCAAGTGACATGAAGAAAGGAAACAGCTTGTTGTTGCTGTTGTTTCTAAGGAGGTGAATGAAGCATCAATACACCACCTCAGAATGACAATAAAAGAGCATTCGATGTATATAAGCCTCACATTACAACTTAGCCATACACTGCTAGTGGGTATATAAATAATACAATTTATCTGGAAAGCAATTTGATAGCATGCGTCAGGAGCCTTCACAATGTTCATGTATAGCCTTTAGCCCAGCACATAGATTTTAGAGATCCAGTTTAAGATAAGAAACAAGAAGTTACCCCATTTTTTTTTTAATATAGAAAAGGTGCCTAAGACAACCTAAACCACACAAATAAGGAAATGATTACATAAATTATTGGACATCCACGTGCCATCTGCCTGGTTATGTCCCTAAGGCCACACATAATGCTTGATACATGCTAAGATCTCAGGAAATATTTAATAAATTTATGATCAAATGAAATAAAATGTAGCTAGGAAAATGTTTTCAAAGAATATTAAAGTGTATGAGGAAATAAGTATGATTCTATCTTGAAAAATCGTAAAAAGATTGAAAGGAAATATACTAATGTTGACAAAGGTCAACTCTAATTGATTTGAGTAATTTTTTCTTATTAACATTTCCACTCTGGAAACTGTTCTTATGTCCTGAATGAATGGACATGATCTGTATTTCAAAGTCAGCTAATCTGTGATTTATTTCAAATCAATTCAGTTATACTTATGTAATTTATGTACATAAGCTTATGTAACTCCATTCACACAGTACCTTCAGGAAAAATATATTATAGAGATTAATTCTCAGTCTTTTACCACATCAGACAACTGAATTAAGGCAATTTTAGCACCCACTCCCTTCAAAGAATCATGAAAGATATCCATTAATCTTCAAAATGCCTTACATAATTAAGAAAATGAAAACTTTCTGATTTTCCATTCACAAAATAAACATTTACTTACTCATATTGATCTAAGTTGTTTGATTTCTTTCCCGTTACATAATTACTTGGGATATATCCTTCATTCCTAGAAATAAGAAAAGTACTTTAGATAAACTAAGATTACTTTACTGGGAGGTTATTAAAAGAAAGAACGATTATTGCCTTTTGAAATAAAGCATAATATTGCTTAAAGCTTATAAGAAAGACTAGCTGACCCCTCAAAATTCAGTATCTGTAATTTATCTGACATTTTACAAAGTACTTTCACTTTTGGTGCCCACAAAAATTCTGGGTTAGGCAAACATTATCGTACACATTTTCCGGTGGGGAAACTAAAGCTTAGAAAGATTATGGGATTTTTTTTTCCCAAGGTCCTAAAGATAGCCAGCAACAGGGCCAGAACTCGAACTCTGGACTTGTGACTAGGTCCTGTGCTCCTCCAACATTCCACAATACTTCTCCAGAATTCACAGTTTTGGTGATATGTGTTAAAGAAACCACTAATTCAGAAAAGTCAAAGTGTTGGATTAAAAACACCCACCACTCTAATACCTCAATAGTTCTTATAGAATAGTTTCACAAAGGATAACTCCTGACCTTTCAGTCATTATCACTTGGGACACTTGTTAAAACAGCAAATTCTTGGGTCAAAACCCAAACAACGTGAATTGAGAAGACCTATGTCAGGTCAAAAAAGGTCCAATTTTACCCCAAATGACTTTTACACACATCACAATTGAAGATGCACTCTCAGGTCAGTAGGAGCTCAGGTTTTCAGCATAAGAAAAGAGATACACATATAAAATTTAAAAATTGAGTAGAAACCTTATAATCTTAAATTTGAATTTAAAGTATTAGTAAGAACTCATAATACACACACACACACACGTGTACATATAGGTAGCTCCGTTGCACTGAGAAAGGCCTAGAAGGAATAGCAATCCAGCAGCAATTAGAATCTTAGCATCACCACTGTCCCTATATATCATTTGTGACTAAAAGGAGCCAGTCCTCCTTAGAAAAATGTCAAATTGTGTCCAGGTGCGGTGGCTCACGCCTGTAATCCTAGCACTTTGGGAGGCCAAGGCAGACAGATCACTTGAGGCCAGGAATTCGAGACCAGCCTGGCCAACATGGCGAAACCCTGTCTCTACTAAAAAATACAAAAATTAGCCGGGCATGGTGGAACATGCCTATAATCCCAGCTACTTCAGAGGCCAAGGCACAAGAATCACTTGAACCTGGGAGGCGGAGGTTGAAGTGAGCCGAGATCGCGCCACTGCACTCCAGCCTGGGAGACAGAACGAGACTCCATCATCGAGACCATCCTGGCTAACACAGTGAAACCCCGTCTCTACTAAAAACACAAAAAACTAGCTGGGCGAGGTGGCGGGCGCCTGTAGTCCGAGCTACTCAGGAGGCTGAGGCAGGAGAATGGCGTAAACCCAGAAGGCGGAGCTTGCAGTGAGCTGAGATCGCGCCACTGCACTCCAGCCTGGGGGACAGACCAAGACTCCGTCTCAAAAAAAAAAAAAAAAAAGAAAAGAAAAATGTAAAATTGTAAGTTTGGCCCCCCCAAAAAATACAAGATAACTTGAGTCATTTCATTGGGCCAGAAAGTAGGAAAGAAAAACTAACAGCGTCCTCTACCAAAAACAGCTACCATCGACCTAAAATTGGCCAATTCAAGCAAAAAGAATAATGGTGGCAATGGATTGGAACCAAATATATAAGTATCCATAATAACACTAAAAATAAACTGTTGGTTACCATTGTTATTACAAGAGAAAGCTCAGTCATCAACTCATTATTCGGAAAATCAGTAAAAGTTTAAGAATCCAAATTTCATCTTTCCTTTCCTTCATGAACTACATGAATTGGTAGATGAGGCAGTTCTTCTTTAGAGAACTAGTAAATGCAGATGGAATGACAAAATTAGGAAATCACTATTTTGTAATCCCTAATGAAATAATGACTCTAAGAAAGAATCATTAATGAACTCCCAAATCATCAGGGTAAACACCGATGAAGAACTTTATGACCGAGGAACAAGGCTGACACCTGAACCCCTAAGCAAGCAATCTTAGCATTATTAAAAGTAGGACAGCCAGATATCACCTTCTAATATGACCAAGCCTCTAGCTCTACTTGCCAGTTCATAAGAAATACAAGAAACACAGGCATATTAAGTGACAGCACAAGAAAACAATACATTTAATCTAGATTATGGCTCATTTTAGTGTTAAATGACCTCCTTTCATCAATAAATCAAAAATGTAGAATAAGAGAAACATAAGAGATATATTAACCAAAATGCAGTGTGTGGGTCCTGATTTGAACAAATCAACCGTAAAAATAAGTATTAGCACTAATCAGGGGAAACTGGAGTTACATCATTGGTTCCATCCTTACACGTGGGCCAGAGAAACTCTTGCTCTGACCCCACACTTTTGAGAGCTCTGTGAAAGTGCATATTCCCTCTGACCTACGTTCCCATGCTCCTTTCTGGGTAACTAGGACCCCAGAATTCCCTGCTCATTTCCAAGGCCTATATGGGCCTTCTACTGGGTCCATCTTCCAAAAAACAAATTGTGCTGGCTGGCCATGTGCATTCCCTTTCACTGGGGCCGAAGGTGTGGCCATGATGGGGGATAGCTTTTGCAGGCCACGTGGTAAGAGTGTGGGTTTACAGGTTGGAAGATCCATATGGTACACAAGAGATAGAGCCAGGGCAGGAGGGAAGAAAGAAGAGAGGTAGCCCCCAGAGCCAGCTTTCCATGCACTGCAACATTCTGGCACAGAGTTCTAAATCCAAACCATGCTTTTCTTGTCACTATGAAAGGGTATTTGTCAAGTTGGAGGATAAAGTTTGTTAGCTTGATTTATAATTTCTAAATACTTACATATATGTTATGTGGATTTTCATTTGTACTATTCCTCCAGGTCCAAAAATATTAAGGGAACGTCAACAGATGATCTTATTTAAAATACTATGATTAAGAATGATAATGACGAAACTATTCACAATAGCAAAGACTTGGAACCAACCCAAATGTCCATCAGTGACAGAATGGATTAAGAAAATGTGGCACATATACACCATGGAATACTATGCAGCCATAAAAAAGGATAAGTTCATGTCCTTTGTAGGGACATGGGTGAAGCTGGAAACCATCATTCCCAGCAAACTATCGCAAGAACAGAAAACCAAACACCACATGTTTTCACTCATAGGTGGGAATTGAATAATGGAACACTTGGACACAGGAAGGGGAACATCACACACCGGGGCCTGTCGTGGGGAGGGGGGAAGGGGGATGGATAGCATTAGGAGATATACCTAATGTAAATGACGAGTTCAATGGGTGCAGCACACCAACATGGCACATGTATACATATGTAACAAAACTGCACGTTGTGCACATGTACCCTAGAACATAAAGTATAATTTTAAAAAAAGACCAAAACACTTCTAATATTAAACATGGAAACAAATGTGAGCTATACATATGTATAAGAAAGATTAATAAAAATAAATAAGATAACTAAAAAATAAATAAATAAATAACATTTACGAGGAAAAAAATGATAATGACATGGTGGTTTGTTTGTTTTTTTTTTTTTAAGTCTTTAGAATTTAGATTTAGGAGTGAAATAACATGATGACTTGAATTTACTTTTAAATATTCTAGAAAAAAAGGAAGGATTTAGACTGGCAAAATGTTGGTAATTTTTGAAGTCAAGCAACAAGAGATTCCATTATACTATTACATACTTTTTGGACGTCTGAAAATTTCTACAACAAAAAAAATAAAAATAGAAATCAATCTTACACAGCATCTGATAAAGAGAAGCAGTGACAACCTTCTTGTAAACATGGAATAAAAGGTTAGAGTTGCAAATAAGTTAATAATGCACAGCAAAACAGCACTAAGATATGCACCATGCCTAGGAATCAAGCAGAAGAGAAGGATCCTGCCTAAACCAGAAGTTTCCACTGCTTCTCCAGAAGTGAAATGAGGAACAGCGACTTGAAATTGGGAATGGGGCTGGGACGTGAGAAGGCAGGTGGAAGAAGAGTGTGCTCTGGCAAGACAAAAAGTTCTCCTCTTCTCATCCACCGGAACTCAGAGTATAAGTGGGATTGTACTGCAGAGGTAAACACAGGATACAGAGTTTGCTTATGAAGCCTGCAAGATACTCATACCCTATAGTTACCTCTATCTGCCCATACATTTATCAATGATAGGGTTGAAAGGACTGTTTTCTTTAAATCCTAAATTATCTTGTACAAAAAAAAGGTTGCTGTTTAATTTCCTGCATGTACATATATATATATAAAATATATATACACACACACAAACACATGCACACACACACAGACACACACATACATATATATATATATTCTTTTACTCCTCCATATATTCATGGAGACAGAGAGAGAGAAAAAAGTGAGAAGAGGCTTCATTACACTGTGTATGTGTATGCATACACACACAGACATACACATGTGTACATATATAGAGAGAAAAAGTCCAAGAAAAAAATTACAATAAACTATTTCTTAGAAAGATCTAAGGTTACTCACTTATGGCAGGTGGGGACAAAATATAAAATTTAATTTCCCTCAAGGTCAAAATAATCAAATTAAACATGTATCAGATGAGAAAGAGACCAATGTATTCTAACTTTTGAAAAGAAGTGATTGCTCAATTTGCATTTATTGAGTGACCACAAAGAAAGGACTGTGTTACTACAAAGTAATAAGGTGTGCTTCCATTTATGGCCGGTGGAATTAGTCTCATTACACGATAGTTACGACTCATCTTCTTCTCACTCAACACTTGACTCCCACCCACCCACTGCATGTCACACACAGAGAGGGAATACTTACCCATATTTATCTCTTGCTCTCCACCAATGAACATCATTCTTTTCTAAAATGAGATATTCTTGGCCTCTCTCTAATCTGAGATCATGTCCTTCCGTCGCTTGGAAATCATACATGGCTACAACGATTTCTTCACTATTATCTTCTTCCAGTGGAATTGGTGGGGGAGGCCTTCGCTAAACAAGGAAGATAACATTTGAAAGTTTAGTCTTCTATATGAAATTGATCATGAATCAAAATGCTAAATGAGTCATACTTCACCACAGAATAAAGTAGAAACCTCAAGTCTACTTACTATAATCCAACAAACTCTCATGGAGAAGAGTATTGTAATTCCTGTTTCATAACTAAGGTAACAATGATTTAAGTAACCCACTCAAAGTCACTCATATCAGATCAGGTCTTGACTGGGTCCAAAGTGCATGTTTTCTCCACTATACCCCACTCCTGAAAGGCATATCATAATATCAGTGAAGTCACTTCTTTGTCACACTGTGGTCTTAAGACTGAAATATTTCTCTAAAGTCCCACTCCTCTTAATATAACTCTTTAAGTGAAAATAGAGGCAAAATGCCAGATGATAACAGGATCTCCAATGGTAAAATCTCATACAATTAAATTGGTATTATTTGACACTACAAAAAATTGAAATAAGCTATAGCACATCTGTTTCTGAGATGGTCCTAGGGGAAAATTGTGTCACATCAATGAATAAACCCCATACTCAATAAGCCACAAACACTATCAAAACTTAAGACTTAAAGAATTAAAATGTAAAGATTAACTCTCAAAAGCTAAAGACCACCTACCTTCTTTGTTTCTGGTGCTGGAGGTAGTGCTTTTCTTATACCTGAAAATGCCAACAACAAAAACAGATTAAAATGCTATCTACCAATAATTGATAAAAATAAGATATTGGTATTTTTAAGGAAAAGTGGGAATTAACACATAGACAAGCAGCACACTCTAACCAACTCTGGTGTATGCTGCTTGTATCTCTATTCTAGAACAGAATTAAAAACTGCTATTATAGCTGGTTTGTATTACTGACTTTCTGAACAGACTATAAATGCCACAGGGATTGAGGCCAGGTCAGTTCTTTGTATTCCCACCACTGCATAAACTGGGGACTCAACAATGCTCATGGAATCAAACGGTACATTGAAATCATGACAACACTGAGAAATTAATCAGCTTTGACTGTCCCTTCCTCTACAGTCCACAGTCCTAGAGTTTTGGCTGACACATGGCTACCCAAGATAAAGACTGTTTCCCAGCTAGGTGTGGCAATGGAACCAAATTCTAATCAAAGGACTCTGTGTACAAATGGGGTGTGCATTTTTAGATCTCATCCCTAAAAAGATTTCCCATGGGCATCCTTGACCCCCTTCTTTCTGCTTCCAGGAAGAGAGAGACTGCTAGAGCTGCAGCAACCTCAGGAACCACTGCAGGAATACCCCCAGCCCCAGATCACCCACCTATCACCCACCTATTACATGAGACTGAAATAGTTTAAGTCTATTTAAACTATTACATGACTTAAACTAGTCTACTCTAGTTTAAGTCACTGTAACTTTTTGCAGCAGGTCAGACGGTGCATTCACTAGTACCAAACCTTAAGACATTAAAAAATATATAGGGAACAATAACAGCCTTAGAAACTTGGGCTTCCTCTTTAATGTGCTAAGTTAATGTCAAGATATCCCAAGAGAATCAGGGTGCCAGAACTCATAGAACTGAGGGCTGGATGGACTGAGAAGGTCATCTGCTCTGGTCTCATTCATAGTACAGCATCCCTGCCAAGTAGTAGTTCTGCTCATATCCAGAAGCTCTGTCAGTTCTGAGGGACCCAGTGGGCATTCTGCATGGCACCAGCAGGAAACAGTATATCCAGTCATTACTATGGGTGTCCTATTACAGCACTAGTAACTTAACAATCTCCATGTATTTTTAGCTTATGACTAAGGGTCTCTCATTCCCAGGATTTATAAGGGTTTTTGGTGTCAAAATTAACCTTAGACATTGTTGTTCATCTCAACATTTACATATGAGTATCATTATGACATCTTACTGTTCTAACAGACTGAAGCCACTACTGAAATCCATACTGCTACACCCCATCAAAATGAGAACAGCCCTAATCAGACTGTGGATGCACTGCTACATGAGGTTTCTAGCTCCACATCTTGGTTTATTTGTTGAAGAACATTAATGCTTTTCAAAGCTGCTGACAGTGCCACATTAGGCTCACACTTTCAATGGATTCATTTTGAACAAGATTCAGTATTGTGACAAAAGCTTCCTAAAATAGACCTTTTGATTCCATGAGAAGTTCCCACTGTAACTAAATATAATTTTTCTTAAAAAACACACCTACCCTACATTTACACTCTACTAGAAAGTGTGCTGTACTTAATCAAAACCATGTCACTTTCTTACCATACCAATAATATGTTCATTCTAAGCACAATATAATTATGGAATAAAATGAATACTTACTGCTCTCAAAAAGATTGTATTTTTCACATCCAGGTGCTAATTTTTCAGTTTGTCTACAACACTGATAACTTCCATCTGTCCAGAATTTAGGATGATATTTAATCATAATATTATTGTTGTTCTTTATTTCTGTAATTCACAGATATAGTAATGATTAGTGAAATACAAAAGTGACTACAGAATGTTTCATAAGTAACAGTATCAATCATTTCTTATTCCTTGGATACTATGTTTACTATAAGAACTCCCTTAGATCATACGACTCAGCATTCAGAAAAGCTCTATAGTTCTCTTTGACCTCCTCTTTATTTGTGTGTGAAGCACCCTTGTTAGCAGAAATGACTGCTGCTACACCAATGATGGATAAAGGCAAAAGTCAACCTGCCACCATTTTGTTCTGCAGGAGAAGCAATGGGGACTATGCAGGACAAATTATCCATTTAAACCCTTCATGAATATGTCATTCCATCCACACCAAATGTTGACTACATGGGCACTTTCTTAGAAAATACCAAATTCTGGGCCAGGCGCAGTGGCTCATGTCTGTAATCCCAGCACTTTGGGAGGCCAAGGAGGGCAGATCACCTGAGGTCAAGAGTTCAAGGCCAGCCTGGCCAACATGGTGAAAGCCTGTCCCTACTAAAAATACAAAAATTAGCCAGGCGTGGTGATGGGTGCGTGTAATCCCAGCTACTCAGGAGGCTGAGGCAGGAGAATCGCTTGAACCCCGGAGGCGGAGGTTGCAGTGAGCTGAGATCGCACCACTGCACTCCAGTCTGGGTGACAGAGCGAAACTCCATCTCAAAAAAAAAACAAAAAACAAAAAAGAAAACACCAAATTCTGTTATCATAAAAGCTTGTGCTTTATCACCTTCAGATATATTACACATTAAATGAGAGTGTGCTTTTCTTAGAAACGATATGCTACTAGAAAAAAATCAGATTTTAAAAAGGGAAGTTATCTTCAATATGCTGGTATCACAACAACAGCATATCCTTGGAGAAACACTTACTGTAGATTAAGAGATTACAAATGCTCTTGTGGTGCAGCACAGCAACATGGCACAAGTATACATATGTAACAAACCTGCACGTTATGCACATGTACCCTAGAACTTAAAGTATAATAATAATAAAAATAAATAAATAAATAAATAATAAAAAAAGAGATTACAAATGTAATAGATGTATTAACTGTATTTCTGTCTGAGTGATAACAGTATTACATCTCCTAAAATTATATACAGAGTAATATTTCATTGTGAGTTTTACCTTCTTTTAACTTCTTCACCCACAGGTCCCTGCTTTGTGGACTAGGTGCAAAAATGTAAAGTGTGTTAGCATCATGAACAACCTAAAATAAAACAAAAGATGGAATTGGTGAGGAGGACTTAGACACAGCACTTCTGTCTAGCACAGAACCCTTGGTACTACAGGCACCAATAAATGATTCTCAAATAACTGAAAGTCAATAACTTCACATCAAGAAAACCCAGATTATTTTCTTACAAAAGCATATGGACTTCTTCATTTCTACATTAAGTAGAATAAACATTTTGCAAAGGACCATGCTTTATAGAAGAAAAAATATAAAGGCCAGGATACTTCATTAATCTCAGTATTTCTTTCAATCTAATTAACTGAAGTTCCTTAGATAAATTTGGTGTAACAGAGATTCAGTATTTCTCTAAATAATATTTTAGATGAATGGACTACTCCTTCAGCATCACTCTTACAGCTTCCTTTTGCCACTATCAATAACTGCAGTAGCTAAATGGATTAAGCACCAACTACCCCAGCACTGTGCTGTGTGCTTTACAGACCTTAACTCAATCCTGCCATCAAGGTACGAGTTTTTCTATTTTATAAATGAGAAAATAAAGGCCTACCCAGTCCCCCACTCCTGTGTAACTTCAGCAGGTACGACTCATGCACCATGCACTGTAGATGCTGTCCCCTGATGTTGTACTGCGTCACCCACCCATCGCCATTTGGCTGGTAATCCAGAAAGCCAGAATTCAGACTCCAGAACCCAGCCTCTTAACCACAGTGCCTCACTTAGAGGCAGTCTTTGGTGGGCAATTAAATAGTGTTATTTTTAACATTTCTAATATTAATAATAAGATAACCCAGGGAAACTAAGCTAGAAATTTTGTCATTTTATTCTTCATGGTCAGTCACAAGGCAAAAAAACAGTCTAGACTGGCTAAAACGTAATACAAGGCTAGAAACCTCCCTTTGTCATGTCCACACCCACTGCATTGAAAACCAAAACCAAATAGCTCTTTCATTGATAAATGGCTATCACCGACCATATTCAATAGATAATTCCTTCTTGTTCATTTAAATCAAAGGAATGTACTTTCTTTTTTTTTTTTTTTTTTTAGAGACGGGGTCTTGCTCTGTCGCCCATGCTAGAAGGCAGTGGTGCAGTTACAGCTCACTGCAAGCTGGAACCCCTAGGCTCAAGTGATCTTCCCGCCTGAGCCTCCCAAAGTGCTAGGATTACAGGTGTGAGAGCCATGGCAACCAGCCAGAAATGCGCTGTAATAGTAATGTGAACACCATAGAACAAATGATGCTATATACCATTCCCATAAGACACAAAAATAAATCAGACATGAAGCCTATTTCCAAGACAAATACAGAAATACCTTATTACAAGACAGAAATGAGCCATGATATCAGAGCGATAAAGTGCTAAAGGAGATGTGAAGAGACATGTTTCCTCATTTGCTCCATGATTTTCACATCTATGTGGGCTTGCCCACACAACCAACTCTGTTCAGAAGGAACCATGCACCATGAGCTACTCATTCTGAATGGACATTGAGATGTCTGGAAAAGACTGCTAGGGCCTTGGACCTTCCAGAAACCTGTACTGTATTATAATAACAATTTAATTTATTATAATAACTTACCGAGTCCCTACAATTAGGCTAAGCACTTTACATGCATTGCCTCATATCATCCATACAGCAATCCAGTTCTTTCTTAGTGCTAGAATCCTCATTTTTGAAATGACAGAACCAAAGTGACTGAGGTTAAGTCATATGAGTAGGATATTTAACCCCCAAATATCGCTTGACTGTTCCCCTCCTGGAATCTGCCTTTCCAGACTCCAAGCAGTCTGACTTCTCCACAAAACTCATCTCATGTCAGTACCATGAGCCTTTAAAACTTCCTTAAAGTTTGTTAGACTAGCTAACCGCCTCCCCCACCAAAAAAACCTAATCCAAATTCAGAGTTTTGGTAACTAAAACCATCTTGATATGTTACCTAGCTAACTTGGGATATTTGTATTTCTGTGAGAAGTTTCTAGGAAGAGTGCCCTGAGCTCAACTAACAAGCTCCTACTTTTGGCATCTCAGGTTGTTTGGTAGGCTGAAGAGATATCTGTGGGCCAGTATCTCCCCAGCAAACTTCAGACCACACCATGTTGGCCTCCTTCTGAGGAGGAGGATCCAGGGAGCTGTGTTTCTCGCCGCCTTAAGTCTTGTGCTGAGTCATCCTACCACAGCAGAGGCTGTTGGGGAGGGAAGAGCTTTGCAAACTTCAAGTGCAGAAACCATTTAAACAAGGAGGGAATACTCTCCCTCAGTAACACTACCCACTCGTAGTTACCCATCCTCCTATTTCTATCTTCCATCCACTAATTCATTTATTCCATAGACTTATAATAATAGTGTGGTGTAGGAGAAACAGCACAGACAAAAGGTAGACAGATCTGGGTTTGAAGCCCAGGGAAGACATGCCAGCTCCTGAGGATCTCCCAGCTGCCATGAGAATGACTCATCTAGAAAAGCATGAAGGAGGAACCATCCCATCTAGGCAGCTGGTGCGGATTCCCCAGCATTTTCTCCATCTGTCCCACTTACTTTTTCCAGTGTCTTTTGAAAACATCTACTTCTACTTTCATTTTTTTCACTTTGCATCTGAACCTAATGTAAAATTTCACTATGAAAACGTGAAACTAGAATCTATACTTTCTTAGTTATACTTAAGTTATAATAAGAGAGGGTATTTTTCACCTTTCAAATCATGCTGCTTTAAACTGTATAAAGCTCAAGCTTATCCCTTCTTGATTAATTTTTCAGATTGTTTTTGAACTTTTCTCATATTTATTCATCTCAACAATTTTAATAGTTCAAGGATGGAATGCTTTCTGTTCTACTTGTATTATCATTCTTAAAAGCAACTCAAAACCTGCAGAGTGAATATCTTTTTCTTGGAGAGCAAAAGTCCTAATTCTGGGTCCAGAATCATGAGAGCCACAGCTCCCCCATGCTGCCAATCCCTAATATGTTTAACAGCCATCAAAACTGTGGTAGGAGGCCAGGTGCAGTGGTTCATGACTGTCATCCCAGCACTTCGGGAGGCTGAGGCAGGCAGATCACTTGAGGCCAGGAGTTTGAGACCAGCCTGGCCAACATGGTAAAACCCTGTCTCTACTAAAAATACAAAAATTAGCTGGGAGTGGTGGTACATGCCTGTAATCCCAGCTACTTGGGTGGCTGAGGCATAAGAATCGCTTGAACCTGGGAAGTAGAGGTTGCAGCGAGCTAAGATCGAACCATTGCACTCCAGCCTGGGTGACAGAGCAAGACTCCATCTCAAAGGGGGGAAAAGAAAAAAAGAAGTGTCGTAGAAATGGTTTTAAATGAAATTACAGATTTCAAATGAAATTACAGAGGCACATACACACACACCTAGACACACACACACACACACACCCATTATATATGCATTAAACATACTTAAGAAGGTTTAAATTTATCTTACTTCTAGATCCAGGTGGTAGGTGTAATATTAGGTGTAATATTAATAGCAGCAGCAGTAGTAAGAGAATAGTAATAATAATAATAGCAACTATCACTTACCTTGCTCTTATTAAGTGTCAAAGCTATTTATACATCACGTCAGTTAATCCTCACAACAACCCTATGAAATTATACTATTATTGTTATCATTCCCATTTTTCAAGAGAGGAAACAGGCACAGAGAGGTTAAGTGACTTAGACAAGCTCACATGGCCAGTAAGCAAATCAGGCAGTTTGACCTCAGAGTCACCTCTCTAAGCACTTACTGTCCCTGTCCTTCACTTAGAGAAACAGTAGCAATAAAATAAGGAACAGGGAAAAGGAAAATTAAATGTAGCCCTTCCTCCATTTGTGATGTTGCCACCCTAGTGCAGAATAAGCCAGAAGCTTGGATATTTTAGCTCACAAACATCTTCATTAGCTTCGTTAGCTTCCCAAACATCTTCATCCCCCAAAACTGGTAAATGTATAATTCCAATGTAATTGATAACTTCATATGAGCAATTAAAAACAAGCAAAAACTCCACTACATTGAAAAAGACTTTTGTAACTTTCCTTTCAGGACACGGTGAGAACACAGCCATGGGTAAAAGGTGACTTTCACTAGGGACATTCACTGTTCAAGGAGAGCATAAAAACATCCTTGAGCAGGGAAGGAAGTGGTGAGGTGCTGGGGAGGGGCTAGAGCTCCAGATTATCAGGATCCAACTCCACACTCCTGAGTTCTCAAGGCACATGGGAAACAAGACACCGGCATGAATGCAGAATAGCTCAGGACGTGGTACCCTCCTCTTCAGGAGAGGAGATGCGCGCATGTGTGGTTGGCAGGCTTTTCATTTACAAGGTGACCTTGGAGAAGCTATTTAACAGGTGAGCACTGATTTCCTCAGACATAAATGAGAATAATGAGACATTTACCTCCCTTATGCAACAGAATCATTGTGAGGGGAAAAAAATAACATGATTACCCCAAAGAAATATAGTTTAATCAATATATAAGGCTAATATTATTTTTTTAGCACAAGCAGCTTTTTAATCTCATTTCCTTTTGAGGATAACTCACGCCTTTCACTTCTCAGTTTCTCAGATTCATAGTGAAAACTTCAACCCTTAAAGATTCTTAAGCCCCGAGTCCTTAAGAATCAGATAATGTTTCCACAAAGACTTAAGCAGTTCATGAAGAAAAGTCATAACTATTAAAGTGGCAAATCAACCTAGAAATCAGCCAATCAGCCACCAAAGCAAAGACAGAAAACTGTAATGTCAAAGAGCAAACATGACTAAGCCCAGCACTGCACTGCCACAAAAATACACCAGCTCACCTGAAATGGATACTTATTTTGACAGGGAATGACACCATCATCATTCTTCACTATTTCCACACACTTGATTTTTGAAACATCAATAAACCCCTTTCTGTATTTCTTCTGTTAAAAGATAAAAAAGAGAAGTATTACAACCATAAGACATAAAAAAAATTAACAGTATTATTATTAATGAAATTTTGCTCTGATTCAAAATATTGCAATTTCTTTAAAATTATCTAAATCATGTTTCCCACTAACTGCTAAAATTATTCAAAATACTAACACTGTGATTATTGTAATCAAAATTATTAAATCCTTTAATTTATCAAGATGAAACTGTTCTGTCCTGCCCCCAAAAAAACTCCAGAATGGGCCGGGTGCGGTGCCTCATACCTGTAATCCCAGCTCTTTGAGAGGCCAAGGTGGGATTACTTGAGGCCAGCAGTTCGAGACCTGGCCAACATGGCAAAACCCCCACCTCTACTAAAAATACAAAAATTAGCCAGGTGTGGTGGTGGGCACCTATAATCCCAGCTACTCAGGAGGCTAAGGCACGAGAATCACTTGAACCCAGGAGGCGGAGGTTGCAGTGAGCCAAGATTGGGCCACTGTACCTCAGGCCTGGGCAACAGAGTAAGACTCTGTTTCAAAAAAATAAATAACTCCAGAACAAAAAAACTCCCTTTCATAGCTACCTGCCCCTGCCAGATACACAAGTTGTTCAACTTCTTCACGTTCTTGATGATAGTCCCCCAAAATAAAGCATCAAAGACCAAGTCAAGCAAAATTCCATTTACTCAATTACAGATGCAACTTCCAGCCAGCTCTGTTTTCCCCTTCACTGGGGTAGATGCCTCCAGTAGAGGCAGCAAACAGAACTGAGAGTTATGTGAGGTGGACTTAAAATATTCACAGAAAGCTTCCATTCAGGGTCTATTATTAAATATTCTAATTTTCTTCCCCATTGCCTGCCCTCCCTGCCTGCTGTAGATCTGCCTGTAGCAATTAACCAACAGCCCATCAAGACTCCCCGCTCCAAAATCATCCACACCTTTAAGCATAGTTATCCCACACTAGTAAATTTATCCTAGGGAAAAATCCAAAAGAAGACAAAGCAGTAAGTGCAAAGATAATATAATACAGCCACTAAAAATTATTACAAACACAATGTAGAAATAAAAATGCATTTGCTGAATAATATTAACAGATGAATTCCACACAAAAGTTACATAAAGACTAAGGTTACTTTTTCTTCATTGGTAGGTATTCATATGACAAAGAATAGAAGAAAAAGAGAAATGAAGAATGTTGTATTTGAGATGCCAGCCATCCCCTGGTGTTAGTCATTGAAAATTATTTTATCTACTGTTCTGAAACCCCAGCACTGGCCACAAGCTTTGGGGTCCCCACCCCACTCCCAGGAACCTGCTCTGCATCCTCATTGTCACCACAGGACTTCCACACCTGCCCCATTCACCTGGGCCATCAGCAGTTCCCATCCGACTAGAGGACTTTGGCTGTCATCTCCCCAGTGCATATTTATATCCCCTAACATACGCACACACTAGAACCCCACACCCCCTTGACACTTGATATGGTCTGGCTCTGTGTCCCCACCCAAATCTCATCTCAGAATTGTAATCCCTACAATCCCCATGTGTTGAGGGCAGGACCTAGTGGGAGGTGATTGGATCATGGTGGCAGTTTCCCCCATCCTGTTCTCGTGACAGTGACTGAGTTTTCAGGAGATCTGATGGTTTTATAAGGGGATCTTTCCCTTTTACGCGTTTCTGCTCTCTCTCTCTCGCCTGCCGCCATGTAAGACGTGCCTCTTCCCCTTTTGCCATGATTGTAAGTTTCCTGAGGCCTCCCCAGTCATGCAGAACTGAGTCAATTAAACCTCTTTTCTTTATAAATGCCCCAGTCTTGAGTATGACTTTATAGCAGTGTAAGAATGGACTAATACAACAGTTTTGTCAGTCCCCAGTTCCATCCACACCTTTCCCCATTCCCTTCACACCTGGCTATGGAAGGTCACACACACAATCCTAACTGCCATCTCTATGCCCAGTCAAGCCTTCACTGCTGCTCATCAGCCATCATGTATCTCTAGTGAAGAGAACTCGGCGGCCTCCAGGGTCACTACCAGTGCCCTCAAAACTACAAACTTCACATTCCCTTTGCCTCAGTGGACTCCCTCCCTCTCTGCTTTACAGAGGAGACAGCAGTTATCCAGGGGTACATCCCCAAATTCTTCCTTCTGCAGTTCAAGAACATGCTAAGATTTTACCCTTTTCTCTTTTCTTTTATCCTGTCTCAAAGAGAAAAGTTAAAAAGACACAATGGTTGAGGCACTATCGTTAGCACTGAACACATGTTATTTCATTCTGTGCTCACAGTATCCCTGTGAGGTACACATAAGTTGATTCTTTTATTTATTCTGCCAGCAAACACTATGGGACACCAACTGAACAGGGCAACAAGTACCGTGCTGAGTGCTGGGGTTTCAAAGTTATGAAAGGAGGGTTGAGGGTCTCTTCAAGAGGATTTCACCATATGATGGGTGGAAGGGGAAGAGGGATGATTCACAGCCTAGTAATGATCAAGCAATGCTCTCTTGTGGCATCCTACAGAGTGGGGCAGTGATGGGGCCACGAGAAGATGGGGAAGTTTCAGGAAGGAAGTGATATTTTGATTTTATTTTTAAAGGATAAGTATGGGTTTTCCTACAGAGACAATGGAGAGAGTTTCAGGCTTCAAAACAACAAAGTACTGAATATTTAGGGAACAGAAAGAAATTCACTGGAGTTGAAGCTCAGGGTGGTTCAGGGGGCATGTGGGAAATGACACCAAAGAGGCTGTCTGAGGCCACATTAGGAAGATGCTTCTGCACCAGCCTTACAAGCTTGGATTTATCCTGAGCAGTTTTCAATGGAGAATCAGGAGTGCAGTACTGGGGTGTGTTTTTAAGAAGATAATGATTACCAGCAGGTGAAGAATGAGTGTTGACAGGGAGGCTAGCTTGGTGACTGCTGTAATAGTTCAGGTGAGAGATGAAGTTCTGAACCAAGTCAGTGGCAGTAAAGTAAGAAGAGCAAAGACGCCAGAGAATTTAGAATTTAGTCACAAAACTTTGTGACCATTTAGAAATGGGGATTAAGAGTAGAGAAGGACTGAGGGGGGCTAAGGGATTTTGAGTTTGAGTGACCAGGAAACACGGACACCGTAAATTATGAGAAGGAACACATAAGAACAGATCAGGTACGAGGAGGCAGGGCTGAGAAATGTTCGAGTGACAATTGAACAACCAGGTGGGAGTTAAAATATGGGTCTAGAACTCAGAAATGCTTAGCACCGTCTTTATAGATAAAGACAATTGTGCTGCAGAAATGCTTAGCGCCATCTTTATAGATAAAGACAATTTTGCTTTTCACAACACATACACAGCGGCAGCTTATTCTAGCCACATCTGAAGGTAACCTTGGGAGGTTAGGCAGGGCTGAGGAAAAAAAGGATTGGAAGGGGCTAGGCACCGTGGTTCACTTCTGTAATCCCAGCACTTTGGGAGGCCGAGGAGGGTGGATCATGAGGTCATGATCTGGCCAACATGGTGAAACCCCATCTTTACTAAAAATACAAAAATTAGCCAGACGTGGTGGTACGCACCTGTAGTCCCAGTTACCTGGGAGGCTGAGGCAGGAGAATAGCTTGAACCCGGGAGGCGAAGGTTGTAGTGAGCCGAGATAGCACCTCTGCATTCCAGCCTGGGCAACAGAGTGAGACTCTGTCTCAAAAAAAAAAAAAAGAAAAGAAAAGAAAGAAAGAAAAAGGAAAAAGAAAAAGAAAGAAAAAGAAAAAAGGATTGGAAGGGATAAAGGATTCACCATAGGGAACAGAGAGTTACTGAGTGAGGCGTGCTGTCCCATGCACTTTCTCCCCGAGCCCACTTTTACTCCTGACATGCTAGCTTTCTAAAGCTTTTCCACAGAGGGGCCCTTTAGGAATAAGAGCCTTGGGAAATGACTTCTGAGCAGTTACTGTAGAAGGAATACACAGTTTTTCCTCCATTTAGACTATTCTTTAGAATTTCTTCAGTAAGAAAATACTTCATGATTCCTGGTGTATGCTATATGCTATTGTCAATATTGTGGCCCATCTGGGTGCAGTGGCTTATGCCTGTAATCCCAGCACTTTAGGAGGCCAAGGCAGGCAGACTCGAGGTCAGAAGTTTGAGACCAGCCTGCCTAACATGGGAAAACCCCATCTCTACTAAAGATACAAAAAATTAGCCAGGCTTGGTGGCACATACCTGTAATCCCAGCTACTCTGGAGGCTGAGGCACAAGAATCTCTTAAAACCAGGAGGTGGAGGTTGCAGTGAGCCAAGATCACACCACTGCCCCCCAGCCTGGGTGACAGAGCAAGACTCCATCTCAAAAAAATAAAATAAAATAAAATAAATTGTGGCCCAAGGAGAAATATCCAAGATCACTACTTTTTTTCGTGTTATATTTCCCTTCTATTCTATAGCCTTTGCCCTGTTTACTAGACTGAAAATCATGATGAAGCTGAGACTTTCCCTGACTCACCTTTGAATCCTCTATAAATCTTCTGAGCTAAGAAGACCACCTGACACTTAGAAGATACTAATTCAACAGTGTGCTAACCCAGTATGCAAAGAACCATGGGCAATACTCTGTGTGTGTGTGTGTGTGTGTGTGTCCTCTCTTGCACACTTTGCAAGCTTGAAAATGGAAGTAAGCAATGACCATTTTATATATCGTAAACCAGCATATATGGGAAAACGAGGCAGAAAGATTAAATATAACTTGCTTTAAACTACACATCAACTGAATGGCAGAACTGGGAGTTAGATGGAAGAGATTTTGTCCCCCAGCAAGACTTACAAGGTACACTGTTTTCCTTTAATTTCCAGAATACTCTGTATTTTAATATCCATCCTAATTTAAAGAAATTAAATGAGAAAAAAATGTATACAAATAACCAGGCTGGTCTCAGGTGATCTGAGAAGTCATTTATCTCAGGACACCCTCTTGCCCTTTTCCCAAGGCATCCGGAGTCTCCACCATGCACAGGGAAAGGCTTGCCAGGGTATCCCTC